GCAGCTTTAACTTCATTGGTTAAAGCCAACATATGTCACTGAAGACTGAATAAGAAAAGCAGGTTTCCAATGACAGAAATGGAAATGGCCCCACCGTTTGAGGAGCAAGTGTTGGAAGGGGTGCCCTTGATGGGGCAGAACTTCTGTATAATAGCGAAGTGAGAAAAAACAAGTGAAGGGTCGGGGAGTGTTTAAGAAGGAGAGTCAGCAGTGTCCGATATTTTGGAGGAGTCAAGAGGATAAGAAGGGAAATGTGCTTGCTTTATTTGGGCCAAACCAATCCCGTTGGCGATCTCAGCTCAAGCAGTCTCTGTGACGTGGTTGGTGTGGATGCCGGTGGCAGGATATACTCATTTTCTGTGGTCTTCATTCATACCATCTCTCAGCCTTGGGCTTTTCAAGTAGGTAAAAAAGGAGTAATTATTCTCACAGGTCCTGTTTTAAACCAGTCCTTTCGCGAACACCATTCCGTGAATCCAGCCCAGTCACTGTCACCCAGGAGGCCCGCATCCAGCACAGGCTCCCTTTCCCTGGTCCCTCCTTGCACTTGCTGACCACAGCTCCCTTTTCATTATGTCCGAGGCTGCGTTGGCTCCAGTAATTTCCAGGGCTTGATGGGGCTTGCAGGAAAAATGTGGTTTTCAGTACTGAATTAGTTCATTTTGAAAGTGCACTTCCTCTTCTGTTTTTGTGATGCTGATGGGTAGGCCGATTCTTTGGGCAGTGACAGGAGATAGCTTGGCTGCTGAAAACTGAGCGCTGATTTATTGTGCTTGTTTATCGAGTTTCCTGACAGCGGAGTAGATGAAGAAGCCACGTTGTAGTTACGGTAAAACTAATAGCAACTGACATCCGCTGGGTGTCTAGTAAGTACCAGGTGTCGTCTAAAGCTCTTGGCTGTGTGAGCTCCTCACACGTGTGACATAGGTACGGTCATCGTCCCCACTTGGAAACGAGCTTTGAAGAGGCTAAGGAATTTTCCGGATTTGAAAAAAGAGATTCTGAAACCACTGTGCTGTGCTGATGACACGTGTACTTTCTGTGTGGCTGGAGATGTGGCTGGAGTTTGTAATGGACCGTGAGATGCGGTTCTGGGAAAGGACGGCCAGGATGCTAGGTGGGTCCTGTACCACAGCACCATCAGGCTTAGCAGACGCTCGGAGACAGGGTCCTCGGGCGTGGTCATGCTGAGCGGGAGGGCTGTTGGGACCTGCTCACTGTGAAGGGGGGATCTACCCATAAACACACCAGGGCTTCTGTTTGTCAACAGAAGCTGGAAGTCTGGATTTTGACATGAAATGTCCAGTTGAAAATAACACGTTGCTGTTAATGACCTTGCCTTATCCACTAACAGCTAAATTGTGCTCTGACACCTGCCTGGCTTTCCTGTGCTAACAGACAACTGCCAAAGTTCAGTGCCTTAAAACAGTTAAAGATGACCCAAGACGGTCAAGACCACACTTAACTTCTAAGGGAATGGGGATGTGTAGTCCTCCTATGGGCTGAAAGGAGAAGCTCCGTATTTTAGAACATCTATGATGACCACCGCAGAGCTCCATACACTCTGATTTTCAAGGCAGGAATGTAAAGTATTTTCTATGGTAGAATCCAACTTTCAAGAGCTCTCAAGCAGAAGGTGACTCAAAAAATTGATTCTAGAAGGATTAAATTAGAATTACCTCGAAAGATTCATTGGTTTAACATGGAGTGATGCCACTTATTTAAATGCTATGTTCTTTTATTTGGTTAGGAATTCGTATGCAGAAATGGTGAAACACTCCTTAGCTGAAGTGATGATTTCTGTAGGAGTATTTATTCCCGAAAGCATGGCTCATGTATTTTAAATATTCGTTTAAGTCCGATATCTTGTGAAAGTTGTCTCATTAGCTGCGCTGTAGGATATGGGCCTTGTCTTGTTAAATTATACCGTGGAGTGCCTGCCTGTGTAAAAATTGGTCACTTAATAGTTTTTAATAAATTTTTTGACACATTTTATCAATTCATGTTTTTAAAATCATTGCAAGTAGAGATCTTGACTTCAGGAGATGTCACAGAGGTTGAAAACTCCTAGCGCAGCTTTTCAAATGTTGCTTATTATGGATGACGATGAGGTCCGAGAGCCCACATTCAGTAGTCCCTCGGTTTCAAGGGCAGTTCTGACTTAGACCCTGTGGATCACAAGGCAACTGGAGCTTCTTCTCAGATATTATTTTTCTGTGATGTTTTCACTGCTTTTTTTGGCTGTAAGATTTGGATGAACTGTCACTTGAAATGAAATTCCAAAACAAATGTGAGTGCTCAGGGAGGTGTTTGCTTGCCTAAGATCTTACAAGGCCCTAAACGCTCTTCAAAACAAGCCCATCCTAGCTCCTAAACCCACACCCTTTCTGGATGACCAGATAGAGGGTGATTCTCATTCTCATGAAATGCAGAACGCTCAGGGACCGAAATTGTGAGGACAGAGCTTGGCTCAAGAACAGGGTTTCTATAACTTAATGGTAGAATTACTCCCCTTGGAGAAAGTTGCATGAACACAAGTTACTCACTGATTGAATCCCAACCATGTAAGTGTGTTTCCAGAATCAATCTCTCTTAATTTGTTCCACATGTACTGGTAAATATTAATAAAATTGCCCGTGTGACTCGGTTCTTTGTGGTCCGTCTACTGGTACTAAAGGTGCGGAAGGCATAGCATGGTGTAAGATTCTGATGTCAGCCGACCTGGGTTTTCTGGTCATTACTGACCCTATTGATTGGCTCTGTGATGCTGGCAAGTCATTTAACCTCACTGACATTCAAGTGCCTTATTTGTAAAATAGGGACAGGAGACACCACCTGTGTTGTCAGGTTGCTGTGAAGACTCTGTTGTGACGTGCTTGGCATAGTGCCAGACACATGGAGGCACTCAGTAAAAATCAACTATTATTCTTAGTATTTCATTACCACCTTTATAAAATTATATAATCAGGATGAAAGGATCTTGAAAGCCTTTGGATTTAGTGACTCCACAGAGAATTTAATCCCCTCCCCAGTTTTCCCGCCAAGAAGACTCCTACTCAGCTCATGGTTGAACGCTTGTTGTTGGATAACTCTGACTTTTCCAACTTTCTGATGTTGATCTAAACTTAGGCTTAAACCTGTAGCTTTCACTGTTTGGAAGTACAAGGAACAAATGTAAACCCTTTCTTCATGACAGCCCTTTGTGAATTTAAAAATATCTTTAATCACAGGCTTTTCCTTAAACTTCCTTGGAACTTTTCCTGCCTCTCCCTGAAACTTTTATTTGATCTTTCTCCTTCCCTTCAGCACCAGAATTTTGGAAAGAATAGTCCGTAGATGTGTTTTCAACTCCCTCCAGTTTTATTCCGTCTTCAACACCTTGGGTGCCGTGATTCAGCAGCTCCCCACGCTGAAACACAGGGGCCGTGCCCAGGAGTCAAAACAAAATGAAAAACAGAGATGATAGAAGGGGGTCTTTTTTACTGAGTCCTTTATAATGTTCTAATGCCTGTACTAGGAGTTTTTATGTACATTTTCTCATTTTATTCTTGTTACACCCTATGTGAAGTATGTATTATTATCTGTGTGTTAGTCTTGAGGAGGATGGGTCTCTGAGAGTTTGAACTGTTGGCCATCTGCCATCTTGAAAGTGTTGGAGGGGCCGGACAGGGAGGCTGTCTGCCTCCAGAGTCCCTGCACTTAAACACCAGGTATAGAAACGCAGACGAGTTTGAGTGATACGGGAGGTAGGGATAAACTCTCCCACCACTTAATATAAGTTGGCGCACATTATGTAAAAGACATATTTGTACAGTAAAAAGAAGTGCGCCTAGCCCATGTCCTCATAGACAGAAACTCACAATCTAGTAGAGACACACACGTATCCATACACACAGATAATTCACAAAGGACTGAGAGGTAGTGGTATAGGCATATGCTATGAGACATCTCTCCCATTCATTCCTCTCCTGCATTTAAGGAATAGTTTACAAAGAGCCCAGATGTGCATACAGGGATGAACGGATAAAGAAGAGATCACACACACACGCACACACACGCACACACACACACACACACACACACACACAGGAATATTATTCAGCCATCAAAAAGAATGAACTCCTGCCATTTGCAATGACATGGGTGAACTACAGTGTATTATGTGAAGTGAAATAAGTCAGTCAAGGAAAGACAAATACCATATGATTTCACTCATATGTGGAATTTAAGAAACAGAACAGATGAACACAGGGGAAGGGAAAGAAAAATGAAATAAGGTGAAAACAGAGAGGGAGGCAAACCATAAGAGACTTCACTCTAGGGAACATACTGAGGGTTGCTGGAGAGGGGGTTGGGGGATGGGGCACTTGGTGGATGGGCACTGAGGTATTACAGACAACTGATGAATCACTAAATCCTCCCCCTGAAACTAATAACACACTGTATGTTAACTAAATTATATTTAAGTTAAGAAAGTTTCAAATCAAGAAATGGCTTATAAAGGTACGTGTGGAGAGCTCATGACAGAGGAAGGCTCACAGAGATAAATAATGATGGACAGGACAGATAAAGACAGAATAGAGAGGGAAACAGAATGGAGATGTTGAGCTGTGGGATGTGGGGCTTGAGATACAAATGGGGAAAATGTTGAAGGTAAGACATGACCCAGATGGAAATGCATCGACTTCAGCGGGGAGAGGAGGCGTGGGGAGCGAGGGGGCAGAGGAAACAGGGCCTGTAATGTTCCGTTCATTTTCTGTACACAAAAATATGACTCCAAATAAAGACGTAAATGAAAATGTAAAGGGAGGGGACAGCTTTAATTAGTCTCTTTGAGGGGGGCTGGGCCTTGGTGAGATTCCTGACAGCCGGGCCCTGTAAGGCTGTCTGTCGCTCCTGCTTTCTACAGCGGTGGGCTGGAGGAGGCTCACCCCGGGGGGCTGCAGGGGGGCCCCTCGGCTTGGCCCTTCCCGGCTCCTGACGCCCGCTTCTGTCCGCAGGCCGTGGGCTGCGACCGTCGCCTGGGGAGCAGCGCCCGCGAGGACAACTGTGGCGTCTGCGCCGGCAACGGCTCCACCTGCAGGCTGGTGCGGGGACAGTCGAAGTCGCACGTCTCTCCGGAAAAAAGTAGGTTTGAAACCCGCTGGGAGGGGGGACCCGCAGGGCAGCCCGAGCTCCGGCTTCACCCAGAGCTAAGCTTTCCCGGGGTGAGGCGCCGCGGACCCGTTCTCCAAAAGTCACATTTCTCCCAAAGCCTGTCGCTCACATTCTGGGTTCCATCGTTTTCCCCCAAGACTACCTGTTTCTGTGAGTCCTGACCCATACAGAGTATGATGAGTTTTTAAAAAAAATATTTGCCATTTTTTTAAGGTAAAGCGTGAAGCCATCACTTTTTAGTTGCCCCCCTGGCTTGCCAACAAGAACATCTTGTCGTGTGAGTCTCCCCCTTTTCTACCTTCTCCTCTTTCAGATCAGATGCTAAAGTCACTCGTTTTTCTGTGTGGACGCTGACCTTTTCCCCACCATTGTGAGCTTTGTTATATCCTGAGTATCCGCCTTTTGTCTGTTATGCCCATTTCATTTTACTTTTACTTTTCAATCTTTTGGTGATGCCCCTTTTAGCCAGGGATCTCCGTTTGTTACTTGACTTCCACTATTTGTGTTTTTAGGATGGTTAGTTTCGAAGTTTTATGTGCTCGGGAACTTTCATTTTCCTCTGTTAGTAGTATCTGCCTTTTTTAGTCCTTTGATGTGGGGGTCAGGAAACCTTTTGGGTAAAGGGCCAGAGAGTAAGTATTTTAGGGTTTTACCGAGCAGGTGTTCCCGGCCTCAAGGTTCTGGACTGTTGTCACAACAGCGAGGAACCCACAGACGACTTGAGAACAAAGGGCATCACTGTCTTCTGATAAAACTTTATGTACAAGGGAGTTCATTCAAGCCAGAACTATGGACATCGGCCACGGAGAGTGGTGACAAGGGGTGCCCGAGGCCCAAAGGCGGCCGTGGCAGTGAGCGGCAGTGCTGGTCGAGAGGCCTGTCGCCTGTTACTGGCAGGAGGAGATGGCCAAGCCAGCGCCCTGAAGGCGGTGTGGCCGGTGGTCCGAGGGCCAGTCTGTTGCGTCATCACTTCCTCAGCGAGCATCCCGGCGGGGAGGCAGTCCCAGCAGAGCGAGTTGGCGCAGAAGCGAGAGAGAGCGTGGAGGGTGCGGGCCATGCCTGTGATGCCAGGAAGCAGGGCTGTCTTGCTGGCGTGCACCTGGGGGACCTCAAACCTCAAAGTGGTACGAGGGACCCTTCCGAAAACAGGACGGGCCAGAGTGGCTGCTCATCCTGGACCTCCCCCGTCCTGGGCGCTGTTAGCCGAGGCTTCTTAGTACACGTTGGCAAGCAGATCCTCCCGAGGGGACCTTGTTGAAGTCCGGAAGGGCACACCCACCTGCTCATGAGCGGCAGCTGCGGCTTTTCTGGAAGCCGTGGTGATGCCCTCTTCTTAGATCCTGCCATGTGTGTTCTAACCCCCTTTGGCGCCCAGGTGGTCAGCCGGACATCGACCGCAGACCTGAGGCCATGTCCTTTACCTCCCGGAGCCTTCCTCCCCAAGTACCTGCTCGTTGCTCTGTGTCCCTTCCAGGACTTCCTCTTTTTGCTAGTTGCCATGAGCACCTTTATGTTTCAGACCCTTCCTCTATAATTGCAGTCCGTCTGTCCGAGTGACATCGTCCTTTGGGAAAAAGGCTTGCTTTTCTACTTAGAATGTGCACAAGACATTCATAACAAGCAGCCTAGTCTGGTTTTGAAGCTTTCCTTTTCCCATATTTTTAAAGTAAACATATATTTTTTAATTCTGACAAAAAAACTAGAGTTGTTTCAAGTTCAGGAGATTAACTGTGATCTGTATGGTATTTAAATAAGCAATATTGAAACATCTAAAAGAAGTATATAATATATATGTCCAAAATATACAGAAAAAGAAGTGAGAATGGAATCAAATGGTTTTTAAAAAGTGAATTAAACTCAAAAGAATGGAGGGGAAAATACAAGACATGCAGAAATTTAAAAAAAAAAAAAAACACCAGACTTTATTTACAGAAATAAGCAGTAAGCTGAATTTGACCCTCAGGTTGTAGTTGGCAACCCCCTGCCTGAAAGGGAAAAAATTATTCCTGTGTGTTTTCTGCCAGCGCTTTTACGGTTTTGTTTTTCTCCATTAAAATCTGCTCGTTTGAATTTATTTTGATGTGACTTATGAAATAGGGATTTTACTTGTTCTCTCCATATGGGGAGAGCACCATGGGAGGGGCGGACGGTGGCGGGGAGGGTTTTCCAGGTGGAGGAAACGCAAAGTCCGTGGTAGGACACTAACGGAAAGCCCTGGCGTGCTTGAGAAACTAGTCCTGTGTGGTTCAGACCTGAATCCCCTTCCAGCCTGGACGGGGTGGAGGGTGAGACAGACAGCATACTGGAAGCAACCACGGAGGCCCTTGCCGTTGTGCCGCACACGTCACGTTAAGCGGAGTCACTTGTGCAAGTCCAGGCAGAGGAGTGACATGGCCGGATTTGTGTTTTACTACCATCATTTTTGCAGCAGGTGGAGGCTGGACTCCCTGTGCGTTGAGCCTGGAGGCACGGAGCCCAAAATGCACGAAAGTGTTTGCAATCATGAAGCCCTCGTCCAGAGAGCATGGTGGGGGAGGTAGAGGAAGGAACAGATCCGAGAGATCTTTAGTGGGTAGAATCCTCAGAGTTCGATAATGCTTGGAATGAAGACCACAAGAGCCAAGAAGTGAGGACGCGGCCAGCGCCCCGGCTTGAGCAGCAAAGTGGGTGTGTTAGCTGTTCCTTTGAGCGGGAGCTCCTGAAGAGGGGTCCCGTACCAAAGATCAGGGCTCACCTCCTTGGATTTTCCTTCTCTTGGGAAATTTGCCCCTATAAGTATTCGATATCTCGGTACCTTTCTGAGACCTTCAAACAGATGCTCATGTTTTGTTTGTGGTGGAAGGCTGGGTCTGAAATAGGGCGGCCCGTGGTTGGCTCGTGGCAAAGTCCCCTCATTGGCGGTGAGCTAAGGCAGGCAGGTCCGCCCAGGGGGAGTGTGTAGATACACGAGGAAGCTGAGCTGCATCAGGGGAGCGCCCGGGGTCAGGGCATGTGGCCAATGGAGAAACTGAAGGGATCTGAGTTAGAGGACGTGAGAAGAGGAGGTAAACGTGGAACCTAGCAAACGCGGAACTTAGCAAACACAGGGCCGTGGAAGCCAGAGGACTGAGTCACTCCCCAGAGGAGGTCATGGTCGACCGTGCGAGCTGCTGCTGTGATACCCGCTGGAGGAAGAGTGCAAAACGTGCTCTTTGGCAACTCGGAGACCATCTGTGACCTTAGCAAGAGTGGCCTCCGTGAACTTCAGGCTGGAGCTAAAGCCTGATTGCCGTGGGTTGACAGACGGTGAGACCGGGTAGACGGGAAGACAGAAGGAGGCCACGCACCCGCAGCATGTCAGCAGCTGGGGGACTGCGCAGGCCCCACGGAGGACATGGTGTCAGCAGCACTCGTGTGTTCCCATCCCAGTCTGCAGGAGGCCGTCAAGGCTGGGGAAGCTGCTGTGCCATGTCTCTTTGGACCCAGGCTCCCCTCTCTTGCCTTCATCATCCTAGAGGATGGCTTTCCTCTCTGCAGTTGTGAAGTCACTATAAACTTTTGCGTCTCTCCACATCCAGACAGTAAAGACGGTGGAGCCGAAGACATTCCTTGAATGCTGTGCCCTCTGTGTAGGAAGGGACGTCCCCCTCCTGGGGTGGGGGGAGTGGGTTCTGCTTCTTTCTGTTCTTACTGACATCCATACACCGTTTTATCATTCCCATATCCCTTAATTCCGCCAACCCCTTCTAGCATGGTTTTGCTGTTTTCAAGCCCACTCAACAGATGGGGGCCTAAGGACCGGGGATGTTAAGGAACCTATGAAAGGCAATATAGGAAAGTGGCTAAGAAATTGGGCTCTGGGGCCGGGGTTGAAATCCCGGGTTTGTGGCTTACTACTGTGTAAACAGACCAAGTTCTTTTTTTTTTTTTTTTTTTAACTTCTATGTGTATTTTGTTTTTTTCATTGAAACTAGAAATGGCCATAATACTGCCTTTGTAGATGTTGTCGGAATGAATAAGTAAATCACTCATGCTGAGCGTTCCATGTAGCACCTGGCACCTAGAGAGCACCCAGGAAATGCCAGCAGGGTTCTTATTAGACATGTGGCTCATTTGGGTACCCATGGATGACAGCTTTTCCATACATTCAGCATCAACGTGGACATTCGTAAACAGGTGTCCAAGTCAACCATCTGTCAACCTGGGTCTTGCTTCTGAGAAGCTGCTGATGGGTGTGGAGGAAGACCTTGTCGGAGGTGCCCAGGAAGAGTGAACGAATGGGAGAGGAGGGATGCCGCTCAGGGGGAGACCGCAAGGAGCCAGGCTGGACTGTGTAGGGTTAAGTCAGGTCGGCTTTTGGACTTGAAGACGGAGAGGGGAGCATCATCGCCTGCCTGCCCGGGTGTTGGGGATGGGCCTGGAGTTAGCGTTGGCTTTAAAAACCTTGGAAGTCTCCTCAGAAATACGCGTCGTAATACACGGTCCAGCAGAGACTAGAAATTGAGATAATTCTAACTGAACCAGGGGAGAAGCTGAGAGAAATTGGGTCAAGAAACCAGTGTTTCTGGGGAAGTGTGCTGAGGAGGCCCTGAAATGGGAAGGGACAGGTTGGGGGGTGTTGGCTGGAAGGGGCCTGGTTGCCTTTCCCAGTTTTGTGCTCCTGGTGAGGTAGATCCAATTCTCTACCTGTCTCTCTCACACACGCATTGATTTTCGCTTTTTGGATTATAGATCTTTCGGAGAATCTATTGAAAGGTAGGTATTTTCCCTCCATTTTCCTGGAATGCATATGTACCCATAAGACCCAAATTTACCATTCCGATTTTTTTTGAGGGCATCTCAGACGCCCTGTGCCAGTTCAGGACATTCCAGGTCAAAACCCTCCCAAATCCAATCTTTTTGATTCCTTTCTACAAAGAAAGGGTGACGGGCGCATCTGGCAGGTGAGGTGATGTGGAGAGGGCAGGGCTGCTGACCGGGGAACCGGGCCC